ATTAAAGAGGATACCAAAAAATGGAAAGATCTCTCATGCTCTTGGATAGGTAGAATCAACATAGTAAAAATGGCAATCTTTCCAAAAGTAATCTACAGCTTCAACTCAATCCCCATCAAAATCCCAACACAATTCTTCACAGCTCTTGAAAGAACAATACACAACTTTATATGGAAAAACAAAAAATCCAGGATAGCCAAAACAAGTCTGTACATTAAAGCATCTTCTAGAGGCATCACCATCCCTGATTTCCAGTGCTATTATAGAGCCATAGTTCTGAAAACAGCTTGGTATTGGCACAAATATAGAGAGATAGACCAATGGAATTGAATTGAAAACCTTGATATTATCCCACACATGTATGAACACCTGATATTTGACAAAGAAGCTAAATCTATACACTGGAAAAAAGAAAGCATCTTCAACAAATGGTGCTGGTACAACTGGATTTGTACATTCAGATGATTGCAGATAGATTCACATCAGTCAACATGCACAAAACTTAAATCCCAATGGATCAAAGATCTCAACATAAATCCAGCCACACTGAATCTTCTAGAAGAGAAAATGGAAGATACCCTTGAATGAATTTGCACAGGAGATCGCTTCCTGAACATTACACCATTAGCACAGACATTGAGATCTATAATTAATAAACGGGACCTCCTGGAACTAAGAAACTTCTGTAAGGCAAAGGACACAGTCAGTAAGAGAAAATGACAGCCCACAAAATGGGAAAAGATCTCCACCAACCCCACATCTGACAGAGGGCTGATTTCCAAAATATACAATGAACTCAAGAAGCTAGCCACCAAAACACCAAACAAACAAATTAAAAAGTGGGGTGCAGAACTAGATAGAGAATTCGCAACAGAGGAATCTGAAATAGCTGAAAGACACTTATGAAAGTGCTCAAAATCCTTGGCCATCAGAGAAATGCAACTCAAAACAACTCTGAGATATCATCTTACACTGGCCAGAATGGCTAAAATAAAAAACACCAATAACAACCTATGCTGGAGAGGATGTGGAGAAAAAGGAACACTCCTTCATTGCAGGTGGGAGTACAAACTTGTAAGACCACTCTGGAAATCAATATGGCAGTTGCTCAGGAAAATGGGAATCAGTCTACCTCAAGATCCAGCCATTCCTCTCTTGGGCATATACCCAAATAATGCACGTTCATACAACAAGGACATTTGTTCAACCATGTTCATAGCAGCATTATTTGTAATAGCCGGAACCTGGAAGCAGCCTAGATGCCCCTCAACTGAAGAATGGATAGAGAAAATGTGGTACATTTATACAATGGAGTACTACTCAGCAGAAAAAAAAAGCAATGGAATCTTGAAATTCGCAGTCAAATTGACGGAACTAGAAGAAACCATCCTGAGTGAGGTAACCCAGTCACAATAAGACAAACATGGTATGTACTCATTCATATATGAACTTTAGACATAGAGCAAAGGATTACCAGTCTACAATCCTCTTCACCAAAGAAACTAGGAAACATGAAGGACTCTAAGAGAATAATGCATGGACCCTGGAGAATGGGAATGGGCAGGATCTCCTGAGGTAATTGGGAGCATGAGGGTAGGGAAGAGGGAGTTTGCAGAATGAAAGGAGAAGAAGAGGAGGGAAGAAGAGGAAATGAAGGAGAAATGTTGAGTTGGTGGAAGAATAGAGGAGAATAGGATGAGAGATACCATATTACAGGGAGCCATTGTAGGTCTGAGGAGAGATCTGGCACTAGGGAGATCTCCAGAGATCTACAAGGATGACACGAACTGACAATCTAGGCAATGGTGGAGATGATATCTAAATGCCCTTCCCCTATATGAGACTGATGGCTACTTTTTATGCCATCCTAGAGCCCTCATCCAGTGGCTGATGAAAGCAGAGGCAGACACCCCAGATATACACTGAACTGAATTCTGAAACTTAGTTGTAGAGAGGGAAGAATGAAGATCATAGGGGTTGATACCAGGCTGGTGAAACCCACAGAAACAGCTGTCCTGAGCAAGGGGGAGCACATCAACCCCAGACTGCTGTCTGGGAGGGCAGCACAGGACTGATCCAGACCCTGAACATGGATGTCAATGAGGAGCCCTATGAACTCTATGGGGCCCCTGGTAGTGGATCAGCATTTTTTCCTTGTGTAAGAAGGAACTTTGAGATCCCATCCCACCTGAAGGGATGCTTTCTTGGCCTGGACACATGGGTGAGGGCCTAGGCCCGGCCCAGGATGATGTGGTGGACTTTGGGGAGCCCCCGTCTAGGGCCCTACCCTGCCTGGGTAGTGGAGGAGGGGTGGGTTGGGGGTTTTGTGGGAGGGTTGGGGGGAGATGAGGGGGAGGGAGAAGGGATTGACATGTGGAGCAAGCTTGTTCCTAATTTGAACTAATAAAAATAATGCAAGAAAGTTCAGCGACCAACTACTAATGGAGGAAGGCCTCCCTCCCATCAGGCTCAGAGGGTATATGACCTGGCTGACACTTGGATTGTCAACATGGTATACCACAACCTTGCTTGTGGTATAACATTATTGTAGTTATTGGGAGCCAATATTCATACCAAAGAAAATTAAGTGGAAAAGCTTTTGTTTGATTTTCTAAATTTTTGCCATTTAGCCATGAGTTGTTTACTTCTTTGTCCAGAGAATCAGATGCTAAAAATAGTACATTCATTGTACTTCATTATAGTTTATCTTTCTGTTATTTTAGAACATGCCATAGTATACAAATTTTCATAAAATTATATATGTAATCATTACTACATATTTTAATGCCTAACTAAATCTGAACCCACAACTGTATCCATTTGTCCCCATATTGTATATGTGGGTGAAGACACTATCATTTGTGCATGGCTACAGTCAAATTTCCTCTCTTCTTCCAACTTCACTGTGCCTGCTGTTAAGTCCTTGAGTGTAAAAACAGTTCAGAATTGTTCTCTAGCTTACCTCTTCCCTGACCTGGCCATTTCCTACTTCAACACATATTTGTCTTTGACTAGAGTATGAATTTCTCTAGTTTTAATGGTTTTGATGACATGCATATGATGGAGGGTGTCCTTCTGTATTCTGTGAAGCTATGTTTCTTTTATTGGTTTATGAATAAAGTTGTGTTGGCCAATGGACAGCCAAGAAATATGGGTGGGTCTACCAGACTGGGATAACTCTGGGAAAAGAAGGCAGAGAGTCAGAGTTGTCAGAGAAATGCCATGTAGCCACCAAAATAGTAACATGGTGGAGCATTAGCGGTAAGCCACAGCCTCATGACAATATATACTTTAATAGAAATTAGTTAAGTTAATAATTAAGAGCGAGATAGCCAATAAGAAGCCTGAGCCATTGCCCAAACAGTTTATAAGTAACATAGACCTCTGTGTCTTTATTTGGGATTAAATGGCTGTAGGGCTGGGTGGAACAGAAACTCTGTCTTCATACATGGATATATTTTGGCTTTATGATATCAAAGGACAACAACATAATAAACATAATAATATAATAAGTAAAACAAACAACATAACAAATTCCTATATTGCTCCAGATATCTTACATATCCAACAACCATAAACAATATGAAGAACAATAATGACTTAAAAGACTAAATGAAGAACCTAGGTCATATGTAAACTTTAGTACAGCTCTAAATCACACTCAAATCTGCTGATGCAAAACTTAGACTTTTTACTGCATCATAAACTCACATTAGCAATTGAGCATAAACTCAATTAGCCTGAGTTTGGTCCCTGGTAGAAGGAGAGACATGATTCCCGCAAGTTGTTCTCTGACCTCCACATAGGTGCTAAGTGCATACACACATACACACACTGTGCACAACACACACACACACACACACACACACACACACACACACTCACATTAGCAATTATGAAAAATACATGGTGATCATTACTAAGTATGCTGGTTTTAAAACTATTTAATGTTCAAATACTGACAGGTAGCAATCAAAAAAGAATTCTTGAATGCCCTTGACCTTTCCATCATATCAGCGCATAATGAAGTTAAGGGTATGGGCATACAACTTTAATCCCAGAGTCAGGGGGTATAGGCATAAGGATCAGAAATCTCATCTACATAGTAAATTTGAGGCGAGACAATGCAAACTTGTCTCAAAGAAAAATAAAAACAGAAACAAAGCATAAAATTAAATTGATAGATGAATAAGTTAAAGGGATTTAGGAAGAACATTTAAAATATTTTGTTTTCAAATGACATGGGGGACTAGGAGATATCTCATTGTTTAAAAGCACTTGTGACCAATCCTGAGGGCCTGAGTTTGGTCCCTGGTAGAAGGAGAGACATGATTCCCAAGTTGTTCTCTGACCTCCACATAGGTGTTAAGTGCATACACACATACACACACTCACACACACACACACACACACACACACACACACACACACACGTGCACACATTAAATGGATTTTACAGAACAATAATAAATGTGTTGCATCAGAAACTTGAGATCCAGCTCTGTTTTGCTGTCAGAACTCACACCTATCTCCTGGACAAGAGGGCAAACAAAATAGTCCACACTTTCCACAGCTACATGGGCTCACTTGTTCCCTCAAGAAAGAGTGTTAGTGTTGCTCTTAATAGTTACCAAATCAGATGAGCAGGGTACTGCTTCATTCTGGAGTTTAGGCCTCTACCAAAGACAACAGAAAGCTTGTTTCCTATCTTTCTTTTTACTAATTAAAGCCGTTACAAACCCCTCAGCAATTATGAATGGTATTTAGGAAGCCGAGACCCTTGAGTTTTCATCTCTAACTCAAGTCAGGTGCCACATTTATAAACTACTGTACAACAAGCAGCAACAGTATTGTGTTTCATCACTGAGGGCCAGCATCGGCTTTGGTTGTCTCGCCTTCCTGCTAACCAAACTCTTAATTACAGATGCTGTCATCACCAAGCTTTATAACAAAGCACATGCTGGGACACAAGTTGACACTCCTGGAGGAATATCAAGTACCTTTCAGGTGAGGGCTTTGAACTTGCATCCGCTGCAAGTGTAGATTTATGGGAACAAATTCTAAAGTCTTCTCTCCTTTGTTGCTGCTGGATTTGAAAGAGGACCCTAGAAAGATGCAAATTGGAAATGATTAACAAATGACTAAATAGAAACATAAACAAATATAAAATATGTGTGTGTTCAAAGACACATTTGGCAAAACTGAATGTTACAAGAACTTCAGAAAGGAAAATACTAATTCCTTCACTTTCTTCACAAATATTAATTTTGAAATTCTTTCAGTTATTACTATATTATTATTATTATTTACCATATAATAACATAGTTCACTCTTCTTTGCTTTAGATGCCAAGATAAGAGAGGTACATCGAGTTTGCTCTTTGGTTACCTTATCTCTACAGCAGCAATTCTAATCACTGCTCCAATGGGACATTCAGTAAAGGCAATTCAGTCTGGGTAAGTGACACTGCTGTTTCATACCTGTTTCCTTGCTTAGTTCTGTCAGAATGTCTTGGTACATAGTCACCATTTGATCACAGTGAGTAAGGACATTTTTCCGTAGGTTGTCCCAGTGTGGGGATAGGTCACCAAGTTCTTTTAACTCCTGGTTTCTGTTAAGAATACAAAACAATAGAGCATATTTTCTTTTGTGTTTTATCTCAGCAGTCAGAACTATTAATTAGAGCTATCAAACAAATAACAAATTGTGTCAATGTCCTTCTAAGGAAACACTGAGTTTACCAGCTTGAAATAAAAATGAAAGTACAAGAGGTTTAGACTATACACACATCAAGAAAATCAAACTTTTTGATGAAATCTCATAGATAGAGGTATGGTTACCTTGCATCCATTTCTCTCAAGGAAAATTTCAATACTCTTCATGCATATATGTTATCTCTGCTTAATCCAACAGAATACCAAATCCTGCTATTTGGAATTAAACTATTAACTTTTATCCAAATTTTAGCCTTTAGCCAAGTTAATTTAAATAATAAGATTGCTTTTTAAAAGTGATAGTGATGAATGGTTGGATACACTGTGTAGCTGGATGAATCCTCATTTCCATGACCTTTCACTGGCCACATTTTCATGATGCTAATTTAACCAGCAATAATGAACTGTCTTTGCAATTTTGGCCATGAAACATGCTAAATACCAAGCTAATAAATTCAGAAGATGTAGAATCTTTACTATGTCAGAATATTAAATGTAAGAATAATTTATGGTGTATTCAAATGTGCTTTGTTTGCTGGTCTTTGTTGCCTTTGCTTTGTTTCAATGGGACCGTAATGAAATCCACTCCATCTTTCACTTGAGGTCTTTAAGTCATTGCCAGCTTTAATCTCAGTCTCACCTTCCCCAAAGATTATCTTTTATGACACAATAGTCAATGGAGAAGTAACTAATCAGTAGAAAATGAGAGTAAAAGCTTATGCTGAAACAGGAGATAGTGATAGATAGGAAGGTTTAAAAATGGAGGAGTTGTGTTCTCTGACCTCAAATCATAGGCTATTCAAATTGAGTACAAAAGAATGACAAAACAAGCAAGTGAGTCCAGAAAGCTCAGAAAGCCAAGCCTAAAGCCAAGTAGGTTGGGTCTAAGACAGACAGATGAGTGATATATCAACTTAACTGGTAAGGTTCCTGCTTTTGCTATAAACATGTAGCTCTATATAAATATTAATGTTTGGTATTTCTGTTCCATATTAACAGATGTGTGTTTGCGACTTATGATGCCTCTCACTCATCACCAGAAATACTAACTAAATTTTGGATGTTGAAGGAAAGGAGGGCACATGACAGTGTCACTGAACTTCATGTGGTATGAACCCAAGTAGTTATGCATGAGATGTTTTCCCAAACCATGGTCCAAAACATTTATCATTCTATGGGATGGGAAGTGACTTGAGATAAACTGTCAGAATTCCTTAGAATATGTGGTTAAATTTATTATATTACTCCAATATGTTACAATCTATACAGATACATAAATAGATGGTCTGATAGTTCTAACAGATGACACTGAGAGACACACATACAGAAAATCAACATATGATTACTTCAAATAGAGAAAAGTACAAATAATAGGATGAAACCAGAGCACTGAAACAGCATATGTGGCACTTAGTTGCTGTAAGGTTAAAAAAATAATTGAAATAAAGTAATTATAACAACACATTAAGGTAGATTTTAAAAAGTTTAATAGGTAACAGAAATGAAAGAACCTTGCAGTCATGAGGTCAGGGTTTTATTTTCAGCAGTGTTCTGATATTTTAAGTTTATTGCTAAGTGATCAAGACTTACAAGTTCAAACACCATTTTCTACCACATTCTATACCTATTGGTTAAGAGTCAGCCTATAGCACATTAATTTTAGCACACTTCTACCTGTATAATATGTTCCTGGTAAGTTTCCTATGTGAAGAAAACAAAACTATTTCTTGTCTATTGAAAGAGATGGGTGCCTGAACTGCTGAGGATACTACCTTGACAGATGTCATTTGGAATGTACTAAAGCCTAACCTTCCTCACAAGGGAGCTGATACAGCTATTGATATGGAAGATAAGGCAACAATTCTGAAAGTATTTGGGGCTCACTATTGAGCAGTAGGCCAAGTCCAAACATGAATATATACTTGAACTCAGCAAATCCAGGAAAGCAAATAAAGTGGGCTGAGGACTAGCAACTTCTTGCACAACACACAAACACATAATTTTCATAGATTCCATTAGTATATAAAACAATGTCTTTCATATATTACAAGAAGTTTAAGAAGAATTGTTCACCTAGGAAGAGGATATTTCAATTGAAGCATTGCCTTGATCAGATTGTCATATGACCATGCCTGTGAAGGATTGTTCTGATTGATAATTGATGTGGGAGAGCCAGCACACTCTAAGTGTCACCATCTAAGCAAGGTTCTGCAAGAAAGAAAGCTGAGTATGGTCCAGGAATGAACCACTAAGCAGTATTCCTCAATGGTTTCATTTGTAAATCCTGGCTGAGTTCCTGCCTCACATTCCCTCAATGCTGAATTGTGAGCAGTAAGTGTAAGCCAAATAAAACATTTGCTACCCAAATTGATCTGGAACAAAGTGATTTTATCACAGCAAAAGAAAGTAAAATGGAACACAGTCTATTGTAAACACTTTGTAATATATAAAGAAGATACAGTTTTAAGGTTATGTGTATCATAAAGATAGTTCAAAGCACAATTATTCATACATACAGATAAAAAGAGAATGCTTTGATTCTGTATGCATGCATTTCATATTACAAAATACCCTGTTACTCATGTGGCAACAATGAGATGTACATAGAGATGGGGAAACCACCTACGGTGGCTAATGCCCATCTTTCTACTGTAGCATTAGAACAACTTTCATCCTCGAAACAACATAGAAGACTAATCAAGTTATGTATTATTGGAATAAATTAATTATTCCAACAGAAAACTACCTTTAAGCAAAAAGAATGTCACAACACAAAGGGAGCTCAGAAAATAATCTAAAATCTTGCTTGACCAATGGAGAGACTTAGTTAAAGTGATGGAACATCACTGGCATTAGTCATAGAGTTATAGACTACAGTTCCATATGTTTACATGCCTCACATCATACATTCATCTAATGTACAAAGACAAACAACTCATTAAAAAGTAGACATCAAACTAAGTGTACTTAATGAACAAATCTGGAAGGAATGGGATTTATAACCTGAGTTATTCACCTCCAGAGATACATGTGTAAATGCTCATGTACTGGAAAGAACATGTGTGTGCCAAATAGAATGGAGGGAAGCCCATGAGGCCTCATTGCTACACAAAGACTATGGACAACACAAGAAATCTGGGATGGGAGAGGTGGCACTCCCAGGCAAGATCATACCAACTGGTTTCCAGTGCCAAATGGCCAGTTCTAAATCATACATACAGACAACATTATACAAAATGAACAGGTTTTATTTAGTAGTATGTATATATATATAGATATACATGCATAAAATAGCAATTAGTAGGAAAAAGAGGCCATGAATTTGAAGGAGAGTTGGGAGTGGTAGATAGGATGGCTTAGAGGAGGACAGAAAAGGAAAATGTTAAATTATAATCTCAAAATCAAAACAGAATAAACATGAACATGAAATAAATTACACTGTGGGAAATTTTTCTTCTAATATTATAGCAGTGTACAGTAAGTGAAATTATGCAAAGTGTAACCAAATGAATACAGTGTCCAATTCTATAGAACCCTGTATCCTCAACTCTCTAAGTTCCTTTATGGATATAACAGCAACCCAAAGCTATTGTTGTCAATAGATAATGACACATTTTTACTAAGTTTTTGAAGAAAATGATAAAGGACATGACTTTTGTAAATCTATCCTTGATTCACAGGAATAAAATTTATATATTCCTTTCCCATCTATGTACAACTTACATCACTCACAGTATTATAAGGTTTCTCCTTTCAAAAGCTTGGTCTTCTACAGTTATTCCAAGTTAAACACACAATCTGAAGATTCCAGGTCAAGATAAATACAACAGTAGATGGGGCAGAAAGACTCTACAGTCCCTGAAATAGCATTCCTGTACATGATAGGGCCACTGCATTCATGAGCTTACAGTCTCTGTGGTTGCCTACACAAGACCTACACCAGATACAGCTAGTCAACATTCTAGAAAGGATGGAGACTACTTCATGACCCCCATGCTCTAGCTGAGAAGCTATTGACAACTGGTTGCTTCTCTAAGGATTTGGCTCCTTTTAGGTTGCTTATGCTCTGGTAGATGGTCCTACACTTGTGGGCATATGGACAGCACTAGTTGAAAGCAGTAGATAATACAATTTAAAGTAAATAAAAAGGAAAAAGTAGAAGACATGAAATTGAAATGAGTTTGTGTTGTTCAGGGGGAGTTGGAAGCAGGCATGCTGGATAAGATCTAAATATATTGTATTTGTGTATAAAATTACCAAAAAAATTTAGTAAAAATAAAACATTACAAATCTGTGTTTCAGTCATGACTCTATGTCTCCAATAACATGATTTTTTTCCCAGAGAAACCACTACCCTGCCAAGAACTATCTCATGGTCTCATTGTACTTCCCTTTCTAGCATTCTTCATTTTATGTAATCTTCTAGCCTGTCTCCAAGTCAACCTCATCCTTTAGCAAACAAAAAGTAAATAGAGGAGATTGAGATGAACAGGTTGGCTATTAAAATATTAATACGCCTAGGTCCCTCACACTCACAAACATCTGCAAAGGACAGGCGATAGCTCAGTCTTGCTACACAGATAGCCCATGCTCCTAGTTCTGGGTATCCCATGTACAAAGTGTGACATCCTTCATACTCAATGAATAACTGAGACAGATCACAGCAATAACTTTAGAAGTACCTACTATCTGTGTGTCTGGTTTTGTATCACCTTATATAAATATTTCAAAGACACATGCTTTTCCTTTCAGTAGACATACACGTTCCTTCAAGTTATTAGGTCCCCAGAACTGTCCACAACACAGACTAAAAGCAGACATGCCCCAGGTGAAAACACAAGTCACTGAATTACACAGAAAAACAAGATTTACTAACAAAACAAAGCTGTGAGGAGTG